ATTATTATTCCGCTTTATTACCGTGAATATTATTTTGGTAAGGGGTTTATTCCCAACAATTCCCGCCTCTCTCTCTCTGCTGACCATCTTCAGTTGTCCTAATCTCCAATCTCTTCCAGTAAAAAGGCTGCCCTCTTCCATTTCTGCACTATCTATTCTCAACTGCCCATTGCTTCAACCGCGTCTAGAATTTGAGAAGGGGGATTACTGGCCAAATATTGCTCAAATTCCCAACTTAAGAGTCGACAAGGGATATCTGTGATGATTACACAAATGGTGCTCTCATAGATGTAAGTTATTCTTTGCTTCAGTAGCTTTTTATTGTTCATTACTTCCCTTTGCTTGTTTGTTAGTTCTTTTCCTTTGTTAAATCTTGCATTTGCATCGTAAGATGAATTTTAATGTTAGATGACAAAAAATGTAATATCTTGCAACTACAGAAAATTTTATACATTGTGTGAAGAAAAACTACAGAAATTAATAATATGCTCTAGGAAGTTGATAGCAGAATGTAGTATTATCAAACTAGAAGTGTTTTTACTATGCACATACATAGTCTTTTGAAATATGAATCAATCTTACATGTTCTAGTGAGGTGAGCGAGGAAGAGATCGCTTAGGGTTCACATGTCAAATTTATTTTTCCTCCTTAAATGCAGATTATTTGTTTTCCTCCTACTAAAAATATTGAAGTTTATTCCTCAGTGATTTAAAAATCGTTTCTCTTTCTTTATCAGGATTTTGGTAATAATATGTAAGCGAAAAAGGTGCTTCACTTTGTTTTGTAATTTTCAAGGCTTCTCTTTCCTTTTCTATTAGTAAACTTTTTCTCTTTGCTAATCTTTTAAGCTGTATGGATCATTCTTTTGCATCACGAAATTTTTTGTTAAGTGTGTTGCATTGTTTTTAGTCTTCAGTCGCTTCCTGTACATAGTGATTGTTTTAGCGCGATCTTACTTTTCTGATAGGTATGGTTTTGCCTATCCCTTGTAAATAGTCTTGAGGGGATAGCTTTTCCAAGTATTAGATCTATTGATTTTCAAATCATCTTTTACTTTTTCTTCTTTTATAGGCAACAGGTATATGCAGTTTATCACCCCTTAGATCTGTTGGTTGCATAGTTGAAAGGATATTAAGCTCGTGATTCTGAGGTAATACTGCTAGCCTTCTATGCCTTTGTGTACAATCTTTCAGGCAGTGGTGAAGGATGTAAATGACATTTGATTCTTCTTTTGCAGGAGGAGGTTGACTAGAGTGATTGTACGTAATGCATGAAGTTTCATCTTAAATATCATCTCAATGGCGTGCATTTTATTATTACTATTCAAATGTCGAACTCCAATAGTAAGAAGGTTGAAACGAAAATTTTTATTCAACCAAGTAAGCAAATATACACAGCTAGCTCATTTAGACTATCGATCTACAAAAATAACCATAGAGGAATGAAGGTTGTACAAGAGGATACTGAAAATACTGGAAAAGAGCACGAAAAAGGAGAAATCGGCGCAAGTCAAGAGCCCTCGCCCAAGACCTGGCGGTGCCTGGCTCCAGGCGAGCTCCACCTCGCGCCCAGGCTCGCTAGGTGAGGAAACTTTTCTACAGTATTTTCAAGTTTCGGGAACAGTATTTGTACGTCCGGCCCGGGTCAGCATAGAAGGAGGGGATGATATGTTATTCTCAGGACATGATATCCACTTTGATTCTATGTTTTGGTCTAAGTAAAGCAGAGGCGGATTCAGGATCTAAATCTTATGGGTTCAACTTTTAAAGTTTTTAGCATCGAACCCATTAGATTTTTAGAGTTATGGGTTCATATGTACTATTTTTGTAATTTTAATGAATTTTTACACAAATTTTTACTCCGCGTCAAAAGTTATGGGTTCAGTTAAATCCGGTGATACTACACTACATCCGCCACTGCATAAAGTTAAAGACAGACATAATTATTCTCACTTTCTGGATATATAATGCATCCTTTACTTGTCCTAATATCTCATCTACAATGAAATCATCTAAAAATTGAGTTATTATGCATAATCTCATAACATAATTTAAGAAAAAGATAAACTAATTCAAGAGGAAACAAGCTAATAGTAGGAAGATTACCAAAAAATAAAAAATTAGAAGGAAGATTCCAAGCAATAGTTGATTGTGAAAGCCTATGACTAAGCCTATTATTTGTACAAAAAGAAACTAACGGTTGGCCTGCTTTCTCTTTTTAAGTACGTCTCCTCTTGTTCTTTATAGTCCTATTCAATTCAATTTTCCCCAAAAATGAAAACAATAAATAATATTACCCAACAATTTTCTTAGCAAGCCAACGACGAGACAGGGCAAGGTAGGTGAAGACTATGAATTTTATTTTATCAATTATGACGAGGCTTAAAGGTCAGAATATGTAATTTTCTTTCAATTTGGTAGTACTAATTAAAATACAAAAGTCAATGTAGACCGTAGAGAAACATATTATTTAAAATTCTTATTTTTCTTAAGACGCTAGTTGTTTACCGTGAAAATGGTAACAACAATTAAATTTGTAAATGTGATTCTAAAAATACGTGATCTATTCCCGAGCTAGTTGTTAGAACAATTGATGCTAATAATGTGGAGTTTAATGATGAAATGCAAGCTAAAACGAGATAGAAATCAGACCGAAGGGCCTGCTGCCCGAATATAGGTCTGGTCGATGGGGGACCTCGGGGCCAACGTCAGGGTCGAATTCAAGCTATCGGGGATAGTCGGGGGACGGGATAACAGTTGAAGATATAATTAAACAAGGCTCTTTATGGCCAATACTGAGTTATACGATGAAGAACAAGTAAGGAAACGATGGATATCAAGGTAACCTCGGGCCAGTGAGAACGAACAAGTTAGAAAGAAAAGAGAGAGATATTATTGTACTTGTGGAGAAATGGAGCAACATCAATCGAGTCTACAAAGTAATGGGGATCCCCTTTATATAGGAGGGGAATCCGTTATGGTACAGAACGTGTTAATCGTAAAGGTATGGAGATAGGATGGCTAGACATAACATCTTGAAATAGGCCTTGGATAGACCAACCATGTCAGGTTAAGCCGCGTGCCTTGGGAACCCCCCTTTCGCCCGTCATAGCTTATTGTACCTGTCAGAATACGATATCCTTCGGACCGATATATATATCGAGCCACGAGCATGAGTCTCGACCTTGGCTTCGAGCTTCGAGGGGCACGACCACGAGATGGTTCTATGACAGGGGAATCAAGCCCCCGAATTCGCCGTATACACTAGTAATTTCGACAAAACTCTGTTAACAAACAATACTAAGCAGAGACTGTTTTAAGACAGAAACATTAATCTTATCCAAATTCTTAACGATGAACCTTGAACTTGGAAAAATGATAAGAAAAGGAACATTTTCTTGAATGTAGAGTGTAGAGTTTCATCCGAATTTCAGCAATAATGTAACAGTTAGTTTACTATGGTCATTCAAATTTCCACTATTTCCTAAAAAAAAAAAAATCATGATATGAGCAAAAGTCACACCTAACACATACCCCACAGCAATTTACTTCATTTCAGTGCCCCACCATGTCCCTTTCTACACTCCCAATAGCCTTCCTCTCTTGCCTCAATTATTCAATGAACAGTTAAGAAAAAGTCTTCATTATGAAGTCTTTGTCTTTTTGCTGGTTAAAAACTCTTGTTTTCTGAGCTAAGATTATATTACCATGATGATCTCCATCGACTACCAACAGTCGATCGGTCTTAGGTGCCTCACTTCGCTTCGATGTCTAGAAATAACCTCCTGCTATCGATTCCATTATCGATTTCAGACTGCTATGCATCAAGTGTGATATGATTGGACAACCATCTCAGATATAAGGAAAAGTTTCCGGCTGCAGTTGAAGTCTCACATTGAAGGCCTGTTTCTCAGTTTGAGAAGAAAAAAAACTGTGTAAGTATTAATTCTTATGTTAAGCTTTGACAGTTTTCGGCGTGCATAGTGGGAGCTTAAAGTGCACGGGCTGCTCTTTTTTTCTTTTTGAGCATTGACATTTTTGCCTAAATGATGAAAAAGACTATGTCCTCTCTGAGCATTTATTCTCTGCTAATTTTTCAATTTTAGTTTTCCTTTGTGTTTCCTTTACTATCTTCAATTTTTCCTTCGTTTAGACTTGGACATGAAAAATACAGATCTCTTATTCATGCCAAGTTGAATGAATGTACGCTCTCTCCTAGTAATTAACGCCTCTACATTGAAGTTACTAATGTAAAAGTAAAAGAAAAAAAAAAGAGAAACTTAAGCTTAATTATTAGGGTATTATCATCTGTATACTTGTCTTATTTTGTGAGGATTTTGGCATCGTGCCAAGTTGTTTAGACCAGATCTTGTTGCTCTATATGGGAAGCGCTGGGAAGAGAGTTGTCAAGGATCATTCTTATGTGAAATGTCCCTCTTAATTTCATTTACACCGCGTAACCAAGAAAAAGCCATCTCTTATTAGTGGTGGAGGCAGGACTTTTGCTAAGGGGTCCAAAAAAGGAATAAGTTAAAAGATTTAATGAGATTGTAGCTAATGGGAATTAAATCAATGACCTCACAACGGTTTTGAACACTAAGTCGTACTTTTGGGCTGTGTGAAGGGGTTTCAAAACATAATATATAGTTGTAAAAATCAGATTTTGCCTTATATACACAATATAATGTTTTGGCGAAGGGGGTTCGAGTGAACACCCTTGTGCCTCCTGAATCCGCCCCTGCTCTTACTAGTTCTTCTACTATAGTTGATGCATATTAGTTGTTCGAAATATGATGCAGTCCTAATGCGTTTATTGCACTTTCCTGTCTAGATAACTTGGCAGTTTATTTTGAGGATTTCTCCTTTGCTTTTCTATTAGCTCGATTTGGCCATTGATACATTGTCATTGTTGAAGTTGTTCAATTCTTTGTTCGTTGTTCTTAAACTCAAGTAAATTCGTGGAATCGCGAGGAAGAGCATGAATGGTCAGAAACATGCAATCTCTATTTCACAATCAGGTATACAATTGGTCAGAAATATGCAATCCCTAAAGCTATTTCATCCCCAATTATATCACTATATGTTAAAGTAGAAAACCAAAAATTTATCCTTAAGAAAATTCAAACTATCTATTATCACTTTCTGACAGGATAGAGAATTAAAGGTTCAAACTTGGTGGCCAACTTTTCTTTACTTAGGCAAATGCCAGGAAACTGGGAAGTGGGGCATATAAAGAAAAATTGGATCCTAACATCTTGAAATTTGTTTCAATTACATTTGTTAATTTGAGATGTACAACTAGTCAACAATAAGACTTTTGAGTACTGCTATATTCAACATTTCCAGCAAAGCAACTATCTGCCTACAATCTTCCTTCTGATTTATCTTCGTTTATCTGTGTGTAATCTTCATCATATACCGCCTTTACTTGATCATAATTTTTCTTCACTTGAGACTCTCGATCTTGTTGGCAACAACTTTAATTCTCCTGTTCCCAAATGGGTTTTTAATCTCTCCAATCTTGTTTCACTTTATTTGTCAGGTACTAATTTGTTGGTGAGGTTCCAACCATCTAAGTACTAGCTTGGTCAGATGCGGGACAATCAATGTTTTTGAGTTCCAACAATTTAAGTGGTCCTATATTTCGAGTTTGTCAACTTTGAGCCTCTTGAATTTGTCTTATAACAATTTAACAGGAAAGATACCTGTGAGCACTCAACTTCAAAGCTTTAATCCTTCAAGTTTCCAAGAAAATAAATTTACGGGTTTCCACTCTCGGTGAGCTGCAGTTCAGGTGGTCAAATTCCTGATGTCTATACTGAAAAAGATGAGAGTGATGAAGATGAATTGGATTGGTTCTACATTTCAATGGTAATAGGATTTGGTCTAAGCTTTTGGGGAGTATGTTTGTCTTTGATTTTCTAGAGATTATGGTGACATGCCTATTATCGTTTTTTAAATAGTAGTTGGGAATACTCAACTTGTCCGAAAAATGTAGAACCAATCCAATCCAATTCATCTTCATCATTTGGGAACAGTCATCTATTTTTTATTGAAGGAAAAGTACATCATACAATAAGACTTTTGAGAATAACAATCTCCTCAACCTATCCCTTCCTCTATTTATAACTTTGCACATAAGGTTTTCCAACTACTATCTAAAAAACGATAATAGGCATGTCTCTTTGATTCTTGAAAATCAAAGAACATACTATTCCCCAAAAGCTAAGACCAAATCCTATTGCCATTGAAATGTAGAACCAATCCAATTCATCTTCGTCACTCTCATCCTTTTCAGTATCGACATCAGGAATTTGACCACCTGAACTGCAGTTCACCACGAGTGGAAGCCCGCAAAGTTTGTTTCCTTGGAAACCCGAGGGATTAAAGCTTTGAAGTTGAGTGCTCACATGTATCTTTCCTGTTAAATTGTTATAAGACAAATTCAAGAAGCTCATAGTCAACAAACTCGAAAAGGTTTGCAGGATTTGACCAGAGAGTTGATTTAATTGAAATATAGAATGAAGGAGAGACGTCTCTAATCTTGTGTTGGCTTTGCCAACTAATTATGGACTGCTCTGGCATGTTGTATATGCACCTAACCAGTAGTAAATTAGGCCTTTTGTACTCTGATTCTATGTTTTTGCCTACAGAATGTTAAAGACAGACATAATTATTCGACTTCTGTATTGAAAATTTTGATTTGTTGGATAAGATGTTTGGTCTTTGTGTTTAAAGCAAACTTGTAAGACAGAATGTTTTCATAGTGATTGAGAATGCTTCGGTATTTATTTATGTGCGTTCATGAAACAGAGACAATTAACTTCTATAATTTGACAGAATATATAAATATACAACATTTCATATATTTATTTGCCAACTCCAGTTTGGACGCACAACCCTAATTAACCCAAATTAGACAGAGTAATTGTTCTATTCATATTTAGAATCTCACCTTCTATTTTTAACAAGTTTATGTTTACCCTCAAATTCGGATAACAATTAAACTTATATTGTGGTTTTAAGGATATGTGATTTCGTCCAATACCAATTAATAAGCAAGAAAATAAATGAATAAATTGGAGAATAAAATAAATCAAACCAGTATGTTAGCCAGGTCTCGACCTCGACTTGGGTAGTCTCGAGGTGGGATAGTAAGAATAGTAAATGATAAAGCAACTCTGATGAATAGTAAGTGAAATAGCGGAAAAGTAATGAGTGTATATATTCTTATGAGTGAACTATCATAACAAATGAATAGGATCTCTCTTTATATAATAGAGGAGCCCTAATCAGGATACGCTTCTAATTTAAGTAGGAAACCATATTGACATCTGATTAACCGTCGTGGATTGATCCGTTTCGAGATTCACGCCATGATCCTCGATCAATCGCGGATATCCCGCATTTTCCGTTATCAAGCTATACCGATGTCACTCGGAGTCTGCCTCTCTCTGACTGCGATTGACGTCGACCTTGGTCCGAAAAGAGGCTTCAATTCCGGACCCGATGGCCTAGCTCCTTGACGCAACATTCCCATCTCGAGCAAAGGATGAAATCAGATAGCCCCGATTTCTATCCATATACAATTTGTTTTGCTTCCTTAAAGAGTTTTTCTTCACTTAGGTTGAAGTGCCAGGAGTCTATACTGTCTAATATCATATAATAAACTTAAAGTTTTTATGCTAATAACCCACTCTCCACGCCAAAGAATAAATAAGATCACGTTTCTGTAACTACGAAGGTTTAAAATTTACCCTACTATAACTACGGAGATTAAAAAACATATTTGTGAATATTTGTCTACTTTTTGTTTAAGTGAACATACAATAAGACTCTTGAGAATAACAATCTCCTCAACCATATCCCTCCCTATATTTGTAACTTTTCACATAAGGATTTTCAACTACTATCTAAAAAGCGATAATAGACATGTCTCCATGATCTCTTGAAAATCAAAGAAGCACATACTCCCCAAAAGCTTACACCAAATCCGATTGCCATTGAAATGTAAAACCAATCTGATTGTTCTTCGTCACTCTCATTCTCTTCAATATCAACATCAGGAATTTGACCACCTGAACTGCAATTCACCACGAGTGGAAGCCCGCAAAGTTGTCACACTCATTTTTTTTCACCTTAACTACCCTTTAAAAAAAAAAGTGATTTAAAAGCTCAAAAAGGTTTTCAATTTGAAAGTGATTAAATTGTGTTTCAAAAGATTTTCAGAGTCGTCACTTGACATTTGGCTTCGATGTGCCAAGTCACCATTTTTCTAAAGATAATTTTTCCTTTTAAAACACGTTTTGACTCTAAAACATAGTCTGCACCAGAGATTCTAAGTAAGGGGGTTCAATTGACTCGGGGAGATTCCATGAAAGTCACGGTTGCGTACATGATCTAATTGGCTTTAAAGGGTACTCAAACTGAGATAAAAACACACAAAAGCAAAAATAAACACAAAAAGGTTCGAGGTTGACCCACCTAAATAAAGAAAAAAATGTACTAAATTTTGTAATACGCTTCCATAATTTCGTCGCCTCCACTTTTATTTACATGTACTAAGGGGCATTCCCCTTAACAAATTAATATTTACAATGCCTTCGGGTATACCCCTGATAAATTAATTAATTAAGGGGCAATCTCTATCCTTGAAAAATATAAATAAATAAACAACCTAATATCTATTTACCAAGTGTGGTCGGCCTAAACATGCTCTTAGTGGACAAAAGGAGAAAAGCAAAAATAAAATAAACTAAAATAAAAACAACCACCATATCATGCTCATTCTCTTTTCATGTTTAAGGCTCAAACCCCCGGCATGTTTCAAACGATTTAATTCACAGATTAAAGAGAACAAAACACCTGACAAGTAACAATCCAAGAGACACCTAATACTCTTAAAATGAACAATCAGACAAAGAAAACAAATAATATAAGAGGGGCAAAAAAAAAGATAAAGAAAGGTGGATTAAAAGGTGATAAGAGCCGTACGACAATTTCCGGATATTTAATTCTAAATAAAAGATCAAACAAGGAACCTCAGATGCAGGGGCGGAGCCAGCATTGTGGCATCGGGTTCGGCGAACCCAGTAGCTTTGGTTCAAGCTCTGTATTTATCTTGAAAAATTCATTAATTAGTTATTAATTAATAATTTAGAATCCAGTAACTTAAAAAGCTGAGAATGTTGAACCTATAAGCTTGAAATTCTAGCTCCGTCTCTACTCATATGCTCCACTAATCCCGTCTAAAGCACTATGCAACTTGAAAAACTAAGCTTGAAATTTATTAACAAATCGGACTTCAAACCTAAATTCATTCCAATTATAATTCTCCAAGAGGAAATTGCTTCATTCAATGTCATGAAAATAAAACTCCCCAACAATCCTTTTTGAATGCCACTCACGCCACAGGCTTCTCAAAAATCCTTGAATGCATTTAGAGAAAAGCATGAAGTCATGACACATAGACGGACTAGTGAACTAAATAATTGGCACCAATATCATCCTAATTGCACACACAGTTCAATCCCTCATATCAAAGCCAAGCGTATATGAACTAAATAGCGCTCAAATCCATAAAGATAGCTAATTACGCATTAATTTATAGACAGAAAATTCAGTCAGATTCATTTCTCCATTACCATAGGCGAAACAAACAGTTAATTATATGCAGCCCCAAAAATTCATTCAAACAATTTTATAACTGGTTCCCTCTAATCTCGCTTTCAAACACCCCCTAAGTTAATTTATTATGGCTCTTATCATAATTTAATCACACCATTAATAGAGTAAAGAGGAAGAATGGACCTGAGATGTGTGAAATTCCTTCACTATTTAGGAAAACTAGCAAGTACGAACTTGTGTTCCAAGAACCACGAACCAGCAACAACACTCGAACGGCGCCGGAGAAACCGAACTCACCTCTAACTCAATCGAACTCCATATTTTGATATCCAAAAATTGAAGAGAAGAGAAACTGAAATCCCTTTTTGTTTTCTGATTTTGAAATAAAAAAAGAAACCGAAGAAACTTGCAATATTTTTTTAATATGAAAGAACTAGGAAATCAGAAGAAGAAGATCGAAAATCAAAAGCAAAAATCCTAGAACCTTTCGCGGATCCTTTCTTTTCGTTTTCTGTCTCTCACTTTAATGTCCAAAAGTCTTAATTAAAACAAAAAACAAAAATATTTTTAATGTATGTTTCTTTCTGAAGAGTTCCTACACACTAGTTCTTCACTCCTTTTCCTTTTTTGTCCCCAAAAAAATCTCCCTTAAATCTGAAAAACGACCCCTTTTATATCTTTCTCTGAAAACTTCTCTACTTCCTTTACAAGAAATCCCGATTTTTCAAAAGAAAAGTCCAAAATTCGATTTTAAAACAAGTAAAGGACAAATAGAGGGAGTAGATCGAGTGAGACTCAATCCTACGCTCCCCATTAATTGTCATGAATTAGAGGTCCAAAGTAATTGTCAAATAAAATGTAATGAAGGGGATTCGAAGCTAAGTTACAGTGTTTAGGAATGCTCAGCTAATTCGAACGAAGGACCAGGATTAGAAGTTCATTAATGAGGAGGAAGGGTCACGATCGCGCCATGTCAGCAAGTTGTTAGTTTGTTACAAAAACCCAACGGCAAGAGAGAGAAGGCAACGAATTTCCGGTAATTTCATTTCTCCCCCAAATTCTTCTTCTCTCTTTTGCTCTCTCTCCTTCTCTTCTTCTTCTAATTCTCTTCTCGTCTATTTCTTTAGATTCTCAGTGGCTATGGCGACCTCTCTTTTGAATTTTTCTAGTTAATTCGGTTACTTTTCCTTGTAATTGTTTTCAACTTTTCAGTTAATATAGCCAGAAAATTATCCCACAAAGTGTTGATTTTGTTTTCGATTGGCAATTGAATTTAGATCCTTATCGGGATCCTTACATTAATCTTATCCTTGTCTTCAAACGAATTTCTTGCAAGATGAAGAGTGTGTGAGGGGATGAGGCAGATTCGGATAGTACGGACAAATCTGTTATTTGTCTGGCTACGTGGAAGAAAGATAAAGGGGAAGAGGGGGAACCAAGCACGTGCCAGATTTGACATTTTCAGGCGAGTTTGGACGGCGGCAGCGGGTGACTGGGTTGGGTGCGGTTGGTGTTGAGAATTTTGGGGTTAGGGTTTGTGTTAATTAGGTTTTTGTGTGATAGTGTGAAAGAATTATTGCCATTGGATTTGAGTAGAGTGAATGATTGGTATTAAAATTGTATTGGGTCGGGTAGGACATGGGTCGGTAGGTCATAGTGGCTAAGGGATCTGGGCTTGGCCGAATTTTGGGCCTAATGTCATGTTGGTTTTTAATTTGGGCTAAGAAAACTAAAAATTCCTTAACTAAAAGGGGTTCAGCATTGTATGACAACTTAACCTAATAAATAGTATAAAAAAGCCCAACTTATTGTTATTGGCATCTTATGTCCCACATTTATGTTTTAATTTAAAAAATTAATTTTTTACAATAAACTAGGTTAGACCTTCTCCTCGTATGTCACACACTCTCTCTATGTGATGACCCGATAGGTCATCTTATGTTTTAGAACCTAATTATGTGCTTTGAAGTCTTAAATACCTTATTTTAACCTTCCTGAATTTGCATGCGCATTCCGAATATTTTTCGGGAAAGATTTTATGTTAAAAACAGATAAAAATATAATATTTTTGCTTTAAAATCTATTTGAGTTGATTTTTGTCAATATTTGAGCAAATAGACCCGGACTCATGCTTTGACAGTCCCGATGGGTCCGCATTGTGATTTGGGACTTGGGCGTATAACCGGAATCAAATTCGGTGGTCCCTAGCTTGAGTTATCGCATTTTGTGAAAATTTGAAAGTTTAAATGCTTAATGACTTTGAAAGTTTGACCAATATTTGACTTTATTGATATCGAGTCCGTATTTTAGTTTCAGAATCTGATGTAGATTCATTACTATATTTATGACTTGTATGTCAAATTTGGTGAGAAACAGAGTTGGTTTGACGTGTAGGACGTCCGGTTGTGAAAATAGAAGTTTATGAGTTTTCTTGAAAATTTCCTTTGATTTGATGCTAAATTCGTAGTTCTAAGTGTTATTTTGGCGATTTGATCGCGCGGGCAAGTTCGTATGATATTTAAGACTTGTGTGCATGTTTAGTTTGGAACCCAGAGGGCCCGTGTGAGTTTCGGATAGGCTAGGAGTGGTTTGGACTTAGAAACTCAACTGGTTCTGCAATTTCTGATAAATGGTGTCTGATCTCGCAATTGCGAGGTCAGTGTTCATATTTGCAAACATTCCCCAATCCTGACAGGCTCGCATTTGCGAAGAGTACCTAGGTTAGCATAAGTTCCCATTTGCGATCAAGAGGTCGCAATTGCGGGGAGGCCAGAGTTCGCATTTGCGAACAAAACTTCGCATTTGTGAAGTGGGACGGGGGTACAGTGATCGCAATTGCGATCAAACGGTCGCATTTGCGGAAGATCAATGTTCGCATTTGCGAACAAATCATCGCAAATGCGATGACAACAAAAATGGAAGGACTTTGCATTTGTGATTGTTTCTTCGCATTTGCGGGGTTCGCATTTGCGAACCCCAGGTCTCAAATGCGACATATGTGACTGATCAAATAGGAGTTAGACGAGATTTTTGTTCATTGTTCAAATTTTCAAAATAAAAAAACCCTAGAGGTGATTTTTCGAAGAACCCTTCTTCCCTAAATCATTGGTAAGTGATTCTAATCTTTTTTTTTTCAATCCTTCACTATATTTCCTAAGATTTCAACCTAAAATCTTGTGTTTTCATGGTGGAAATTGGGAGTTTGGGTAAAATTAGTGATTTTTGTAAAATTGGAATTTAGACCTCAAATTGAGGTTGGATTTCCAAACAAATTACATAACCACGCTCGGGGGTGAATAACTAATCGGGTTTTGGTCCGAATTTTGGGTTTGGACCAAGCGGGCCTGGGAGTTGATTTTTGTTGACTTTTTCAATAATGACCTAAATTGAATTTTTTACAATCGTGGGTAGTTCCTAAGGCTTAATTTGAATCGTTTGGTTGGTAATTTGCTAGACTCTATTGGTTCGGAGGCTTGTTTGAAAGGCAAAGCCGTGGTTGAGCTTTGAATTTATCCTTGGAGTGAGGTAAGTGTCTTGGTTAACCTTGACTTGAGGGATTAGGACTCGTTTGTCTATTTGCTACATTTTTAGATGTTGCATACAATGTATATGTGATGTGACGAGTACTTATGCTTTGGTGTCGGGTTAAAGCATGCGGATGAGACTTATTCCTTGTAATTATTGCTTACTTTGATCATGTTATCCATGCTTAGATCAGTTACTAGTTAAATTGATCGTTCTTACTGTGTTTATGGGCTTTGTGATAATTGAGTATTGTTCCCAAAGTTGAGATTGGTATTGTGGAACAATTGTTGAAGTAAGGCTTGTTCTTGTTGATCATATCTCCCTGTTATTACTTGTTCATTGTTTTATGGTAAGGGAGAGTGTTAATGTACGAAGGGTGATGTCGTGCCATACTGTGAGTGTTAATGCAATAAGGGTGATGTTGTACTATATTGTGAGTGTTAATGCACGAAGGGTAATGTCGTGCCATGTTATGAGAGTGAATGCACGAAGGATGATGTCGTGCCGTATTCATTGATTTATACTGAGAGTGAGAGTAAAAGCACGAAGGGTGATGTCGTGCCATACTGTGAGTGTTAATGCAATAAGGGTGATGTTGTACTATATTGTGAGTGTTAATGCACGAAGGGTAATGTCGTGCCATGTTATGAGAGTGAATGCACGAAGGATGATGTCGTGCCGTATTCATTGATTTATACTGAGAGTGAGAGTAAAAGCACGAAGGGTGATGTCGTGTCGTATTATTGTTTCATTGTGAGGTTGACAGTAAAAGCACAAAGGATGATGCCGTGCAATTTTGTTCAATGTGCTTAATTTTTTTTACTGGTTAAAGGTATACTGATTGTTCTGGTTATCATTTTCATTGTATTTCTCGTATCATGTATCCCCTTTAGCATGCCCCTTCCTAAAAGTACATGTTTAGCTTTTACTTGTTGTTATTTTGTACATATACTGTTATCTGCACAGGTTTATTACGTGGGTGTCTTGTCATAGCCTCATCGCTACTTCATCGAGGTTAGGCTCGGTACTTACGGAGTACATGGGGTCCGTTGTACCCATACTACACTCTGCACTTCTTGTGCTGACTTTGGTACAGGCCCTAACTGTTCCTAAGACGTAGCAACTAGGATTGCTTGTTGGAGACCTGAGGTAGATCTGCTGGTGTCCACAGACCTTGAAGTCCCCTACTATCTTCCTATTTTATTGATTCTTTTCGTTCAAAATAGTTGTATTTCTTTCAGACTCTGCTTGTAGAAAATTCTAGAAGCTCGTGAGTTGTGACTCCAGATCCATATTATAGCAGATATTATGGGTATTTATATTATTTCGGACTCAGTTTTATTTCATCTAGGCTTAATTGACTGAAATAAAAATTAGCTTAACGGTTCTCTAACATTGGCTTGCCTAGCAAGTGAAATGTTAGGCGTCATCATGGTCCCAAAGGTGGGAATTTGAGGTCGTGATAAGTTGGTATCAGAGTAATAGGTTGCCTATGTCTCACAATTCACGAGCAGGATTAGTAGAGTCTGGAGGATTGGTACAGAGACGTCTGTACTTATCTTTAAGAGGCTATAAAGTTTAGGAACAAATTTCACTTCTATTCTTCTCTATCGTGCGATTTTGTTCTCTCATTGCTAATTGAACTCTTCTACTCTTGTTCTCTCACAGATGGTGAGAACACGTACTGCATCGTCAATTGAGCAGCAGCTAAAGCCCTAGTGGCAGCTCCTACAAGGGGCAGAGGTCGAGGCCGAGGTCGTACTAGAGGCCGAGGCAAGGGCAGAGCTCAGCCTAGAGCTCGAGCAGCAGCACCAGCAGTGGAGCATCAGGTGGAGTTTGATGAGGAAGTTCCAGCCTAGACTATGCCTGTTGAAACAGCTCAGGTCCTGGAGGGGTTCATCATCACCCTAGTGCTTTAGGATGCTTTAGTCTATTTAGTGGACCTTATGGAGATTGTGGCCCAAGCTAGTACATTTCCTATGGCACTAACCGTCTCCCAAGATGGGGGAGGAGCACAAACTCCCGCTAACCACACTCTGGAGTAGATGGCTCCCCAGTATAAGCCGGTGATGGACCAGCTATGTCTTCTGAAGGCTTATTAAGATTGGACAAGTTCAGCAAGCTCTTTCCAGTTTACTTCAGTAGTGCACCTTCTGAGGACCCACA